GAAAGAGTGAAACATAAAGGATGTTAAAGGAAGCATGAAGAACTACAAAATTAAGAAAAATAAAATGCCTCTGCTATACCACTGATGGTTCCATTACCTGCACTTTTCAGGGTGTTCTTCTCGTTTATTATTAAATTCTAATGAAATTTTTGCGTCTAATCCAATTCCAAAGTAGTTGTTCATGACGCACTTTTCTGAATATCCTTCCCTATGAGAGGAGTACAGATAAATTTGTAATGGTACAGTTATCTCAACAGCTCCCATATACCTTTGACCTAGATTGTGGCTGGTCCTAGCACCCATATATGCTTGAAGCCCCATATATTGACAATAGCAATCACAGGGCTGACTACCTGCCAGCACCTCCTATGGTGTGAATGACCTCAGAAGGGATAGAAAAGAAAAACAGGACTCTACATCAAGACATCTACCTAGCAGAGGTGGGCAATGGTAGTGGTGACTGCTTGCTGTACTCTTCAAAAGCAGAAAGAGCATGCCAGGAGTGGGCAAAATACAGCCCGTGGGCTGGATCTGGTTTGCCAAATGATTCTACCTGGCCCATGGTTGCTCCTCTGAAGGAAAACTGATTCTCCCCTGAAACTGCCCTGGCTTTCGGCACCTCTCACCCATCTCCCTTCCCTATGCTGTAGCTGGGTGCAGCAGCAGCAGCTCCAGGGGCCAGACAGCAATTCCCCCTCCCCACCCTGCCCTGGCCCACCCTGCCCTGGCCCCCAGCCTCCTGTACACAATCCAAGGCGGGGGGCATCCTGGCAGGGAGCTCCTGGCCAGGCTTTTGCCTGGTGAGACTGTCTATACACAGCTCCAATTCTGTAGTCGTTTGAAGATAAGACAGCCCAGCCCCGGCAAGAGTCAAAGCTCAGGTATAGTTCTCCCCACTGGTGGGGGAAAGGGTGCAAGGGGAACAGGGCTAGAAGTTGCAAGTTATCTAGGCCCCGCCAAGCTGGGCCAGAACTTGATAGGTGTGCAGGCACTACTAATGCAGTGCCATGTTGTGTTCCCACACATTGCTTCAGGCTGTGTCATGTGGGTGCAGCTGCAGCAGCTGGTGCAGCTCCTGAGCGACCCCAAGTCCCTGGTACACAGAGGGGTGAACATAATGCAGCACTGGTCCAGCTGAGTGCAAATAACCCATGGCTCCCAGCTCCTGTCTCCCTACAGCCCCTCCCCTGGCCCAAGTCTCCAGAGCATGACTGGGCCAGGCCAGTGCCACTCTATGTTCCTACACAGCGCTTCAGGCCACACGGGTACAACTGGCATGGCTCCTGCCCAACATGGCCACATGCCAGGGACTCAGGACAGGAGAAGGGGCACAGAGAGAGCTGTGGGAATGTGCGTGCACACGCATGCATGCATGCATGCATGGAAGAGATGTGGGGCGGAAAATTTTCCAGTGCTTTATTTTTCCATGGGAAATTTCCCATTTCTAAAAATTAATTTCTTCATAAAATTCATTAGTAACAATGAATAGATGCCAATAGCCGTGATGACAGACATAGCCACACAAAAGAAAGACTTTGGAGCAAAGACACCATTTGGCAGGCGGCACAGAATATGTCTCCTTTCACATGGTGGAAGGGATACTGTAACACCCGACTGTTGTTCAGGATTGTCCTAAGGATCCTAAGCATTTCACCAACAGCAGCTTCTTGTGAATGGAACTGGAAGTCTTTCACCACAATCAAGACAAAAAAGAGGAATAGACTAACAGATGAATGCACTGCTAAGCTTGTTTCTATTTCTCAAGATCTCTTGCTCCTGGAGAATCAGTCAGAATGACAATTAGTGAAGAAGATGCAGTGTGATGATAAGTTGCCCTTGCCCATAGACTCATTGGTAAAACCATCCTTTAGTGAAAGAGAATATAGTTCAAGTAGTTCTGAATCAGATTTACCTCAAACTGATTCTGAAATGGTGCTAATAAGTAGTGCAAGTGATTCTACACATAGTGACAGTGAAACTGGAGGTGCCACAATGACTTCAGTGGAAGAGTTAAATTCTGTTGAAGTAGATGAGTGGACAACCATGGCATATCATGCACAGTTCTAGTGTGTCAACAGTTTTCACTGCCTTCATTTTTTTTCTTAAATTTAAACAAACAATGTAAGGGAAGTATATGCTATTGTGTATTGTCTTTACATTTTTACAAGTATTCCAATAAAAATAATTTCTTTCCACATAAAGCTTTGAATTTGTTTGAACATAACATTTAAACCACATTAAGTGTGCTGTATTTAATTTTTTTCCTAATCAAATATTTCAGTTCAAATACTTGGGGCTGTTGGGACATAACATTAACATGGGGGTACTTTTTTTAGTTTTGTTTACTATGTATAACTCAAATAAACATGCTAAATCAGATCACGCTCTATTTAGGGCATTGGAAAATTTTCCAATTCAAAATTTTCTGGAAAACCCACATCTTTGGTGTCTGCACACACGTGCGCGTGCAGCCCACACATGTGCGTGCAGCCCACAACAGCTCAACAAAACTTGTTAAGTGGCCCTCCATCCCAAATAATAGCCCACCCCTTGAGTATGCTCTGGGTATGTTCTAGGGAAACTCTGCTGGACACAATGCTTTCCAGTGTCCTGCACTCTGTAGTGCCCTTATCTCAAGATCAGTACCTAAAAGGCAGTATCTGCCGTTCTGAATTTGAGTAGTATTTTCCTCTGAAAACTATGAATTAAGGCTTGTTTTTCATTCTGGTAATTATAAAGTACAATTTCATAAAAGAAAAAGCACTAAAATAGGAGTGAATAGAGTGAAATAGGAGTGAATTCATAAAACAGAGATTTTCTTACAATGAATCTGGATCAGGGTCAATAAATGGTGTAGCACCAAATGGATCAATGTTTGCAAGTAACATTTTGCTGATAATAGAACTTCCTGCAATAGAGGCAGCAAGGCCAGCCCTTAAACCTGAGGAAAACAGAGAAACAAAAACAGTGTAAAAAATGTCAAGAGGAACATCTAATCTTAATGTAAGCTAAGAAGTTTTGCTAGATGGCATGAACTGAAGTCATATATATGAACGCCTGCAGGATGAACTTTGTGGTAGCTCACTGGCCAGGCAATGCAACAATTACACCATCATCTGAGAAACATTTCAGGATTTCACTGCAAAACTCAAACTGAAAATAACACCCCTCAAAGATTATTAAGTTTTTTCATTTTAGTCCACTCCACCAGACCCCAAACCTCCATTATTTTGGCATAGTTTCTTACTACAGGGAGGTAGGGGAAGGCACATGAAACAAGGGTGCAGGCAGGCAAAACAATGAAAACAGTTCCAAGGGAAACACACAAGGCAATAATTGAATAAGTGAAACACTGAAAGCCAGGCAACACACATGCCCCCTTTGCTGTTCCTAGCCAGAATGTTTCAAAATGCCGCAGATTCCTCTGCCAGCCAGAGAGCACTAAACGAGGCTGCAGTGACTTACAACTCTGCTCTACATTCCCCTCTTCCCACATGGGGATAGGAGGTAGATGGGAGTGCAGAACAAAAAGCCCAGAAGGCAGGGAAGGAGGAATGGCAGGGGCTTCCTAGTGGAGCAGAGGTAAAGGGGACTGAGGCTGGAGGGCTTCCTTCCAGCAGTGGGGGGGACCCTGTGAGTCAGCAAGAGAGGTAGTGGGAGCGTAACCCCAGCTTCAGTGACACTGGAAATCCCAGCAGGGGATATGGTGGTCCCAGTGGAGACCCAGCAGCACGGTGGGATCAGGAATAGGACCGGGTGCCTAGAAAGCCAGCACGTTGTTCACCCTCTTTCCC